AAAGAAAACRTAAGGGAGGATGGCAGAGAAGAAGAGAGGAGCAGATGTTGCACTTTAGTGGCAACTCTCRTTCTCTCTCTTTGGCCCGCGGTCATGGAGGGATGACTAGCCTTCATCAATTCTCTTTAATGACTGTGGCAGCACCACTTAACACACTGCTATGTGATTTCTTCATTACCACATCATGATATCACCATTTAGTCGATGATGATGGCATCAAGTGAAGCCCGGGGATAAAAATAACCAGGGAAAATCTAATTTCTGCTCAGTGTCCCACCCATCTGCTCTTAGGTCAATTTAGAAAGCACAAATGGGAAAAGATTGGAGATGCAGCGAACGCAACAAAATGAGATTATGAGCAACTGCTATTAATGCGTTATTAGACGTGGGAAAAACTTCAAAAATTGTGTCTTTCTTCCTTAAGTGATTCAGTCACATTATATTTCACCGTATGGCAAAACCATTGGGAGGCAACAACATGCATGCTAATGTTTTGCAACTATCAATAATAAATGTTGACATTCAAACCTTGCTAATAGATTTTTTTTATTTACGCAGCCTCCCTGGAATTGAGCAGCAGAAACACAGGTCTTTCCCTGCATCTTTAAAATAATTAAAAATACACGTTTGAGCATGTCAGCATTAATTTAGACTTTCTCTTATTCTATTACACCTAAAAACATGTTCTAGCACAACATGAAAAATGATAGCCAATGATGGCTAAAAGAGGAAGTGACAGGGCTCTGAGGAATTTTCAAGCTTCACAACATACAGGACGTGCAAAACACACAGTTAAATGCCCAAACGTCTCCATCTGCTCCATCCCACCCCATTCCCTGTYCCTTCTGCTGCTGCTGCAAGCCCACTAGTCCACACACAGTACTCTGGCAACAGCATGTTGGGCATTATGAGACATGATTCCTCCTAAACAGCATGCATCTTCATCTGCATGCACGCTGCGACGTGGACAGCTTGCTTGCACCAAGCATCCACCGCTTTTATCTGAYGTATATGTCTTCTAGTGCCATGCCAGTAAGCACCGAATGTGTTCTTGTGCAGGGTGGGAGTCTAATAAATATGAATATCAAATTAACTAAAGCTGATCATCTCTTTGGCTTCAAGATCATCTTTTGTCAGTTAATGTTAAAAAAACTGTGTGCATGTATTTTTCCTCACCCAGGAGACATTWBWATATAACAAATCAACTCACTTTTTTAAACAAACCCCTTGATATTGTCACTACCTACAAATATCTTGGAATTACTTTGGATTCTCATTTGACTTATCGTGATCATGTACAAGTCTTAACCACTATGTTGAAACAGAAATTATACGTTTATTCAAAAATTAGATCCAATCTGACATCTTCTGTTTCAAATATCTATCTTCATGCCATTATACTCTCAACCATGTTGTATTGTTTACCTGTTTGGTCTCTTACAACAAATGAAATCTTAGAACCCATAGTTAGGCTCTACAACAGGGCATACAAAATTCATAAAAAACTTCCTGGTTGGACTCATCACTGTACAATTCTTTCATTGTCTGACGCCTTGACTTTTCAGAATTATGTTTTGTATAGTGGTATTAATTTATATTTTCAGATCATCCAAGGTGCCAATTATGGAACTCTCTGTGCATTGCTGCCCAAACCAAATTCTGGAAGTGGTCATTCAACTAGATCTGTTAAAAAAGGACAACTGATATTACCAACTTTTAAAAACTGTTACGGCCAGAGGCCTTTCTTCTATGTTTATACTAAAGCATGGAATGACATTCCTCAAAACATAAAGTCCATTTCAAAACTACAGCCCTTTAAGAAGAATCTTGTCTGCCATCTGCTGGACACTTTCTGTTGTGCTCATATTTAGACGTCCTATTTTGCAAATGCTGCCTTCCTGACATTTGGTATGCTTGTTTGTCTTTGTGTCTATGGTGCATAAAGATTTGATTGTGATGCTGTATTTCTGAGTGTTTTATGTGCTGCAGAACAGGAACCTGCTGTAAAACAGCAATTATGCTGAGTCAGGCTTGATTTTTAATACTCTTTTCCTGTTAAATAAATAAATCAAATCAAATCTTGTGATATTAATGGTGAATCAGAAGCTCTGAACTTATGCAAACAGGAATAATTTCTCAACATTTGTCTGCACAGTCTGAATGCCATCAAGTTTTGATTAAAAAATAATGATCGAGTTTGTTAGGTGATCAGGCAAAAAGTATTGCACTGCAAACTAAAATTACACTCCAATGTCGCCAAAGAAAGTGGACCAGTAAAATTTAACCCTTCCTATAATTTCCACCCTTCTATAGTGTTTTTATTTTCAAACATRCAGTAAGTTGCAACATCAAGGATATGATTTCCACTAAACTAAATTTTCTGTCCAATTATTAAACGTGAACAGTGTGGAGATATAGGACACAAATGTAAGGGAAGTCTATATATAAACAGGCAGATTGACCAACAAACTCAAAGGGTGTGTTGACAACAAGGACTTTGTGCTTATGAAGGAAGTCTAGATGTGACAGCATAAATTTATGACATAAACTGAATAAATAAATAAATAAATAAATAAATAAATAAATAAATAAGGGAACTTTCTTCAAAATAAACAGGAAACTGGGTTAAAAAAAAAGGAAACGAGACAAACACAGAACCGAAAGCCAGCTGGATGTTTTCAATGAACTGGTTCAAAAGTTTAAAGATCATAATATCACAAAGTACTTTGTAAACCAAATATGGCATTTGTTACACAAGTTGTCTCAAGCAATATAAAATTCCTTCCTTGTTTTCGTTTCTTCATTTTTTGTAGGTATAATTTAGATGGTATTTACAGTGTTTCCGTTTCTAGTCAACATAAACATAAAATGTCCAACACAAAAAAAATGAATGATCTGTTTTAGTAATGAGACTTGAAAATCTGTCACCGTGAAAAAATTGGAATAATAATGACTGAAATAGGAGGATGGATGGATAGATAAATGTGGAATTGTAATGTAATAAATCAGATCTCTCAGTAAATAAACCAGAAATATGATTATGTATCCTGTTTTACATGCAGGAATTTTACCTCAAATGATAAACGAACAAGTACAAATGTCTAAAACTTCAAAATTTTGTTTTGTTGCAGGTTACTACAGTTTGTTATAACTGATCTTAAATTAGACAAGTAGCCAACACATACCGTAAATGAAATGATTATGTTTTAGACAGGTTAGCTTCAGTAACTACTGAATTCTTGAACCCATGTCAAAACCCGTCAATAAGCCTAAAATATGTCTGAAAATGTTAAAAYAATTGCATGCAAATGCGGAACTTTATCAGGTTTAAAAATAAATACTTTTTTTGCAGAACTGATTGTTACTGAAAAAAGCAGCTATAATTCYTTAACAAAGTAATCAAAAACAGAGATCTCAGAGTAAAAGTTCAACTTTCCAGGAAGTCAAACAGTCAGTGAATCATAGATCCTCAGAAATAAAAATGTAATTGGTTTGGAGCCAACATATTGACTTATAAGATTTATTCAGTCTTGCAGATTAAAAACACATTCACTATCATATACAAAACTGGCACTGCTTAAGAYGTGTTTACCAGTTATAATATAAATGTGACCACTTTGAGATTTAATTCACCCTTATGTGACTTGAATGAAATAAATTAGCCTATTGGAAAAAAAATAACTTTCCTCAAGCAGGAGCCAAAAGATTTTAAAAACGCCCTGAAGTTGGCTTTCGTCTATTCTCCGATTAGCCCCCTTTCCACTGGAAGAAATGAAAAAGACAACATCATGGCACATCATTGGTTAGATTCAGCACCGTGACTGCTCCCGTCATGCTCACACTAACCTTCCCCTTGCAACTCACACTCCACGAAAATCTCTCTCAGCGCTTGGCAACACACAATCCCACATCAGTATTGACCTCACCCTCTCTCTCTCTCTCTCTCTCTCTCAGCACGGCCTTTTGCTTTGGTCAGAGTTGCCACTGACAGATCACAACCATGCACCTCCAGGTTTCCCCCTCTCTGTCCCTACAGGCTCGGTGCACATGAATCATTTGGTCCTCACAATCCTAACAGCTGCTTACGTGGCTGCAGCTGCAATGATGATGACATTTCATATCATATCATATCATATATATATATATATTTTTTTGCCACGGGTCGCAGATGCCGTATCAAATTCGTTCTCCTTTTAGTAAGCAAGAAAATACCAGTGCGGTGGAATTCAGGCAGTAGCAGATGGTTTTCTAGAAAAGACCTGCAACAGCTGACTTAGTCTGCAGCACAAGTGAAGTGATTAACCTGTTTTYTTCATAGTTGGTTTTAAACGTGCTGCTATTATGTATTTTGCAACCGTTCAGCTATACGTTCTCCGTGTGGCACTTTGGTGTTCAAGATGTCCAGKGGGTCTCAAAGGTTTTGCACTTTAAGATCTGCACTGGTGAGTTGATAAGTTCAAATAGATTCAGAAAATAGGACATGGGCAGACATACATGAAATGCATCATGATTCTCAACAGGTCCTCGGGATGACGTCCAAGAAAACTACATTTGACCTCAACTGAGATCGATTGTCACAAGCCTGATAGAACACATGTAGTCCTACAGGTTTAAAAAAAAGGGGCTTCTGGTTGGGGAAAAATATCTACCAGGTTCCACTGTAATAACCCATAAATGTAACCTACTAAATTTAGCCTGCTCACCTACCATCCAGGGTGATGGATTGGATGGGAAAAGAGGCTGCACGTGATTGGCTACACACACGATTTGCTGTATAACCCGAGGGTTACATTTGGACCCCCCCTCCCCTACTCACATCCCACCTCCCTCCACTCTCCCAAACGTGGTTTGCAGAGGCGCGTGGCATGACTTCGTGAAGGCACAGATGATTATCATCATTACAGGACCTTGTGGTATATTAGGTGCACGCGGAGGGTGGGGG